ATCCTTAGCGGGGGTCAAAACCTGGGTATGTTGGGACAGTCTGAGAATTCATCTGAGTGGGTGATCATAGTGACATGATCAGCCCCTTTGTCGGACAAAGGTAATGATCGGGGATGCACTCTCTCTGATGGAAACCAAACTTCCAGCAGTTGATTTCAATCGTTCAAATTTTGTTTTGCAAAACTTATATATAAGATATATAGATATGTACGAGTTTCAAAATATTTGCAAATGGTTTTAATTCTCGGGATCCATATGAGCAGAGAGCGCAGCACTGTTCCTTGCAGCCGAGGGAGAGGTCCTCTCTTGTGAGGTAGTGTTTGATCATTATGGGCTGAGAGGTTGAGTGTAAGGCCATTTACAGCTATACCTGATGGGCTAATCTTGTATCTGCCCACAGTCCCTGGGTTTTTATAAGATGGCTTGGCCTAGAGACCACTTAGTGTAAGTGTTGGGGCCATAGAGTCCATGTGATGGGCTCAAGGGGTTCACCGGGCTTTCCAGTGAATTCAACTAGGCCTTGTAACAAAGGCTGGGCCAAACCCATGTGGCTGATGTGTAGATCAATGCTTGGGTCCCACACCATACAAAGAAGCCCAACCGGGCAGCAGTTTGGAAGTCTATTGAGCACTTAATACATATTGGGCCTAAAGCCCATTTCGAATTGGGCTGATTTGATCAGTCACTTAAAGGGGTGGATCTGAGATTAGGTCAAGCCAAAAGGATTGGGTCTTAACCCTATCCACTCATGGAGACCAAATTCAAATTAGGATTTGAATATGGTAACCTCCTGATAAGATCAAGAGTGGGCTAATATAATCTGTAGATAGGATTAGGAAGACTCCTTATCCAAACACATATTTGGATTAGGATAACTCCTAATGAGATTAGGAGGTTTCTTAATCACTAAGAAAAGAGGGGAGAAACCCTAATTCAAATTACAAGAATTCAAACCCTAAGGGATTTCGCAGATTAGACTGTATTCTTGAGATAGGATCTCAGAAACCCTAGAGAAGAAAAGCAGTTCGCCATCTTCTTCTCTAGTCTTATCCTCCAGTAGCCGCCGCCGTCTATTTCTAGTTCGAGTTCTCTGTGAGGGAAGATCAAGAAAAGTTCTTGATTGTGTGTGGCGTTCATTGCTTCCATCGAGTTCTTCAAAAGAACCTGGTTCGTGGGACGAACACTGTTGGTTCTGTTCCATCATCACTGTGTCATCTTCAGTGGGAGCAGTTCTTGGGATTTTCTTTGGGCGTGAACACCGATGTTGGGAGATACTGCTTCTCCGGATCAGGTATATCCCTTCCCTTCTCTTTTGGTTCAGAACTGGTTTGGTTTGATTCAAGATAAATCTTGGAAAATTCAGGGAATATGATTCCCCGTTGGAAGAATGGCAAGAAATTTTTGAAATTCGCCCACCCATTCCGCAACATTTTTGGCGTCCATATGATGGATCTTTCCATTCTTTCAGGTTAGAGTAAATGGAGGATTCTTTTGCAGGGATAAACTGAACATAGAGGAGAGAAATCCGTTCATGATAGTCGTCATCGCCATAGATTGGTCTAAGCATCGGATTTGAAGAGCTTTGGCGTTGAACCTCACCAGGTAGTCTCTGAGGGTTTCTCCTTCTTTTTGTTGCACATGCATGAAGCTAGACGAGGTCTTCCAATGCCTCTAGCTAGTTGTGAATTGTGCTAGGAATTAATCTTCCAACTATTCCTAGGAGGCGATGGACCGCGGCGAGAGTGAGGCATAATAGGTTCTGACAACTCCGTGGATGGTAGCAATGAAAGCATTGCACAATAAGCCTTCGGACGAGCCGTGGGGCATCATGATGGCCTTGAACATCTCAAGATGATCTTTGGGATCTGAGGTGCCATTGTACTTCTCAAATTGTGGCAGATGCCATCCAGCAGGGGAGCTCATCGACAATTTCTTAGATGAAGACGTGTCCCTTAGCGGGGCCCAGTTCAAATGGTCAGTCTGTTGGCGTGGTGGTGCTGCACTACGATTTGTTTGACTACGTTCTAGCTCGTTTAACTTCTCTGATAGGTTTTTTATTTTGGCATCTCGGTCTAGCGGGGTAGTGCTGGCGGATTTCTCCACTTTAGGCGCTAATCGTTAGTCGCAGACTAAGTTGGACTCAACAATCAAGATGGGGCTTTGTGACTGTTGGCCGAGCCACTCCTTTGTCGGGCTCCTAGCGGAGGGATGAGATTGGCTATGAAGTTGCAACTGAGGTTCGGTCCTCTGGGATGGTGAGGATGTTCTTGATCCAATCATGTCCTTAGTTAGTCCACGGGGCACCTTTTGGGGTC